CCAACTCCTTTTGCGAAATCTCTCACAGCGGTTACTAGGGAGCGGTTGTGATAGCAACCGGTTTCATTTGACCTCAAATGGACTTTCTGCAGCAAAGGATTCTTGACTTTCAGCTGCTTTAGAAGATCTTCGAGAATTGACGTAACTACATACCAGTCCTGAGTACACTGATCAAAGAGGTGAGCGTACGAGATGACTTCCGTCGTGTTAGACTGGCTTCGAGACATAACGCTACTGATGTGCCAACTTAACCCTCTTTTTCCGTACCAGTCACTTTGCTTCTCTCTATATAGCGCAGCTGCAGAAATTTCATGGCCCAATCTATAACAAGAAGACATGAAGTCTGGTCAAGCTTTGCGATAAGATCTTGCTTTGCACATTCCTGATTCACGGATCTCATAATGTGAGCTTTTCCACGGGACGATAGCCTCCGAAGATTTCTGAATGTCGTACAACCAGTCACTTTTTTAGTCCTCGCTGTAAAAACTTAAGGTTTTGTTATCCTTAACAATCTGTTGCATCTTCTGCAAAACGGAAGTAATCTCGTCGCATTTAGGGCAGAGAAGCGTATGTTGAAGTAAGCATTGTTTCTGGAAATCTGGATCGTTTGGATCGCTGAGACCTAACTTACGACAGTGGTCGGGACATTCGCTCTCATCTTCCTGGCAGTGGCTCTGAAACTGGGTTTTGAGGTACCTCTTACCCTCGCTGAGGGCTCTCCGCAGTTCGCCTGCCACGTTCTTGGCGAGCCCAATCTGATCAAGCTCGTCCACTATTCGGAGGAGTTGCGCGAACCCCGCCGACCCGTCAGCTGCTGTGTTATCCAGGCCGCTATAGGACTTCTATTGAGAGGCTTCCCTTACCTCGAGGATGCGAAATAGGGTTGAACGGCTTAGTGATTCAAACTGTTCTTCTTCGAAAAAATGAAGGTACTGCTTGACCATTGTTGACCTTGTGACTTTGCGAATGACATTTGGCATTGTGATCTTCTCGCCGCTGCTGAGCCTCAGTTTCCTCGTACTAAATGACACGTCTTGATAAAAGTACGGGCGGTTCGCGAAGTCTAAGAAATGGTCAAGCTTTATTGGTGGCAGTCGAACTCGATGACACGGGGACTTTTCGACCAAAGAACCTGGACCCCACTCTCTTGCATGAGCTCTAGCGCGTCTAATTTGCCACTCGCTTAAATTTGAGTATGGCTCGTGGATTTTCTGAAGTGTCTTCACTGGATATCGATACGCATATAGGCTTAGAATTTGGGTTTTCAAGGTACTCGTCATGGCGTTGCTGTAGGCCTGCATCAACGGTACAAGGTCTAAGTGGCTGGTCCCTTTATCTGGTGTAAAACAGGCCTGAAATAGCTGTTGTCCAGCCTTCGGCGCTATGATGTCACAAACGAGAGTACAAGTTTCAGTAGCCTTGTCAATGCAAACCTCTTTCTCGTGTTCTTTTGCCTACTCCCATGTACTTTTCAGCTGAAAGGTCAAGGGACTGACGCGGCTAGCACCGGTTGCTACTGGGTTCGGTTTCTCCATGGCATCTGTAAACGCTGACATTGCTAACTCGCTGGTACTTTCAGCTGCCTCGTCGTCTCCAGAGCTCTGGCTGTTGGTCTCAGATCTGCATCCCAGAGTCCAATCAGCTGTAAAGGCATTTGCTTTCGGTCGAGGCGGCGTCGCGGCAGGCGTTGATGTGACTGTTGCAAGATTTAAAGCTGCCATTCGTTTGGCGAGTCTGGGAGTTGAGAAAATCAAACAAAAATTTAAGTCCTCCCACCATGTGATTGACTGCGTAGTGTGTCCCCACTGAAATCTTTGCGCGCATTGTTGCGAAAGTAGAATTTGTTGCTGACGAAGAATGAGTTCGTCAGCAATACGCGCAAAAAATTCCGTTCTGTTCACTATCAGCACCACCGCGTGCAATTGTATGGTACATTAATCAACCATTTTCTCTTTTTAGGTCATCCAATACAAAGCCAAAACACTATTTGTCACTTTTTTCGAAAATGTTTCCCATTTTGGCCAAGTACCTGTAAAAATAACTTGCTTGTTATAAATGTTATAGTGTGTGGCCACGCAATAACACAAAAAGGCTTTGTGTAAAAACAAACAAAAGGAATGTTATCTTGCATCGGCGTAAACATTGGTGTCAAATTGCTCTCCAAGTTTATTTATCTAGTATCTCGCCTTGCGTGTATGACATAAAAAAAATGCTTTTGTAAACATCTGGATGTTAGAGATTCGGGCGTTGCCTTGCAATAACGTCATGTTCTCCGCAGATTTAATGTGCAATGTAACAAGAAGTTACAGATTCATAGACAACGTTTCAACTCCTGTCTAGTGATAATATCAGCAGGTGCATCTATCTTCTAGATTTAAAGGAAAGTAAAATGTGCACCTATGATCACATTAACATTACATTAACTCCGCCCACGCTCTCTTTAAATCGTCGGACGAGGGCGGTTGTTGCCCAGACGCCTATTTACAACTCGACTCAGAAAAAAGGCCGCTAATTAGTGATCGTATAAAAGGACCTCTTGTTGTTATATCACCACCTGATGAAGGCACTAGACAGGAGTGTCGATAACGTTGGGTCTATGGAATTGTTACTTCTTCGGTTACATTCATTTAATCTGCAAACCAGAGTAATTTACTATGTCTCTGGCCTTGCCGTGTGAACTTTAAAACCTAATGTGTTACGCATTTTTCGGTGCAGTTTCTGTGTTTCCCGGCCATATACATAATTGACCAACGTTACAATTTTGTGGTGTTGGAAACTTAGTTTGTAGATTTGAAGTTTGCTTCAGAGCAATGTTACAAGTCGAAATGTGATTTAACTTATCACGTTGCATCAGCTGCCACATGGCCTCCATGTGGTATCACGGTACGTATCTTGGGACGAAATCACAGCAGTTGTTTTGTTTTATACTCACTAGCGTGCAGGCTTTGGCCCAATGTTAATCAAATTCCAAAATACTGAATTCTGACATTTGTCGCACCTCAATATATGTGTAGATATTATCTTAATTTAAACCCTGCCCCACATTTCAGGACAATACCTGGTTGGTAAGCTAGAATTTACATAAAAATCATACTTGCAAGAGCCTGTTGGAACGAGTTCTGCAAAGATAGTGTTAATTTTCCCTTGACATGTCGAGATGAACTGCATTTCTAGTATTTAGCTGCTTTTCCCGGCCGTTGTGCAGTGGGTACTGGCAAGTGCGACGTGGTCGCCAGTTTTTACCCATGTTTCCTCTATGCTTTTCGCAGATCCAAAGTTCTTCAAGTTGATCAGGGGAAAGGTCGTGTGGCAACCCTGACCTGTTAACGATAAGCTCATATTCTTGTACCGTTCCTCTAAGCTGACCTAAGTGACATGCTTGTAGAAGATCATATGATATCACCTCTACATTCTGAAAGCTTTATCAACCTCGCTGAAGACTCACTACAGAATGAAGCCTCTCTGGTTTCGAAAAAGCACGTGCATGCCATACTACACTTGCAAGCCTTCCAGAAAAAATAATGGGCCAGCGGGTTCACCCGCAATGGTTAATGCGGACCTCTGTTATGCGCGATAGTTCAATCGTTCAGCTTTAAATTCCAAAGTTTAGCCCCCAAACTTCGACACATAGACTTACAAGTGGAGTTCTATGTCTGATTCTTGAGGTGAATGCGGCTGCAATCCAAAGTTTCAACAGCACATTAAGCGCGAAACATGGCTTTAGTTTTCGAGTTTAGTTCGCAACGAGTCAAAGAAGAGTATCGATAGATGCCGACCGCTTAAGTTTGGAGTTATTTGCTGGAGTTATCATAAAGTTCACCAGTTTGGGGAGCGAGGAATATCTGAAATCTCACATAAACCCAAGATGCGCCGAAGGTAAACTGTATTTATGACGAAATATGCTCCAGTGGTTCGATTTTGGTGTAGGCGAAAAAATCGCGAATGCTCGTACATGTGCTGATTCAAACGGTCATAACTTTTGAAAAATCGAAAACGTACATGGGTTTTTGCATATTTTTGCCTATAAAGGTCTAAAATTGACGGCTGTGTAGGATAGAGTCGTCAACCAGGTCCCAAATCCCAAAACTTAACGTCTACATCAAGGTTATTTACGGCCAGCGGCCGATGGCGATTTCTAGTGGTCAGAATATGCTAAAATTCGCCTTTTCAAATATATTGAGAGGGAAAATTCTAACTTTCTTGGCAAACTAGAAAGATTTTTAAGCAATCTGATATGAATTATGTGGCTTAACTATGAGAATCAAATATTTTACAATGTTACAAAATATGCCTATTTTTCAATTTTCGAGACGTTGCGACGGTCCCTACGGACTGGGAAATAATTATGGCGCCTAATGCAGTTAGAAAATTATTTCGAATCAAACCAAATCTAATTTAGTTCTTTCCTAGGTAAAGTCTTCTTTATGATAGAGTTTCAGGCAAAATTATTTTTGACGCGAAATTGACCGGTGGAAATAAGAGAGACAGCCTCTTAAATGTATTAGACAACCAGTCATTGACACTGAAGAGAACCACCTCTTTAGATCATTTCATACTAAAGGATTAACTAGAGGTCCAAAAGTTGTCCTTTTTACAATACACCAAAAATTGATTTAGTTGAAATCAGATTACAAGGGATATCTGTTTACCTCGAAGTTAACCAATCGTTAACCACTGACACTGAAGAGGAACACCGCTTTAGATCATTCCATACCAAAGTATTAACTAGATGTCCAAAAATAGCCCTTTTTGCAATACACCAAAAATTGATTTAGTTGAAATTAGATTACAAGGGATATCTGTTTACCTCGAAGTTAACCAATCGTTAACCAAATTTAAGTTGACCCAAAGGAATTAAAGTGTAATCGATTCCATTGACGCTGTATGTCTTAATTTATTCGTGTACGTCCTTATTGTGAATGCACGCGAGCGCTTCCAACTTAGAAGGTTTGCTGTGTCAATTTTGAAATAACATTTGTACTTAGACAGATGACTTGAGAATGGAAAATAACACTAACATCTCAAACCACGGATCAGAAAGCCACAACTTTCACGCCAAACCTTTCGTTGTTGTGAACTGTGCCTTGAATGCGCCATTAATGCTTGTATCAATTCTGGGCAACACGTTGATTCTTGCCGCCATTATAAGGACTCCGTCGATTCGTTCTCCGTCAATGATTATGCTCGGTAGTCTTGCTGCTACAGACCTTCTGGTAGGTCTTATCGCTCAGCCGTTGTTTATTGCAGATGAGCTCATTATGAAGAACCATGTTCTTTACACTCTTTCCGCAATGATAGGATTCGCCTTATGTGGTATTTCTCTCACAACCATAACAGTTATTAGCATGGATCGTTTTATTGCACTGCAATATCACTTGCGATATGCAACTCTTGTGACCAATTCCAGAGTGATGTATTCTATAGTAGCGGTATGGTTGATAATCTTGATCTATTCAGGACTTCGCTTATGGGATAACGTTCTATTTCACCTACTTTCCGCGATATTTACCGGTGTTTACCTTGCCATATCCACGCTTTGTTACATTAAAATTTATCAAATCGTCCGACGCCATAGATTGCAGATCCGCTCTCAAGAACAAGCTACAAAACGCCACATCATTCAGAATCGCATAGAAAAAATGCGATTAAAACAAAGCGCTTTGAACACGTTCGTTTTTTATATCTCCATGATTGCATGTTACTTTCCCTCGTATGTTTTGCTCTTTCTTTTTGGAATTTCCTATTCCACATGGAAAACTGAATGGACCATCTCGACTACCGTTGTGTTCATGAACTCGTCCCTGAATCCAATTCTGTTTTGCTGGCGTATTCGCCATCTTCGGGTTGCAGCTGTGAAGACGGCAAGATATATGTTATGCACCACCACTGATTAATTTCAAAAACATTAACTTTTGTCAGACAATTTTGGCTTCTAAGTGTAGTGACAAGCTGCGTTTAAGCTGGCTCAATAGTGCTAAGAATTCAAATCTATATAAAAAATTGAATCAATCGGGGACATCGGAAAATGTTGTGAAATTAGTCAGGTTACGGCATCTGGGCTTCAAATCGCGAGAATGATAGACAGGCAAGTTTTTGCCTTTCGTTTATACCCAAAACGCTTTCAAGATTTGAGAGTTCCCAAAGCCTATTGTAATGTCCATTACTAAGTAATTTTGTATTAACAAATAAACTGTAGAATTAAATTTCCTAAGTTAGTATTGCGTTGTCTTTATCAAATCGATTATTTAGCAGTTTCAAGTTTAGTGTTAATACCTTATAGCTAATTTTTTTCCTATTTCCCTTGAAAAAACATTGCATTTGCATTTCAGAAATTTAGGTGGAAAACTTGAGACTTGATGTTGAGAGATGAAAATTCAAATTCTAAAAGAAATATGAATATATATAAGTATTAAAAACTCATGGCCGACTGAGTCCATTAACTGTTTAAGTAGTACAGAGGAGTTGCCGATCATTGCTTTTGATAGGTTATGACATGGTATACGTGTAGAAATTGCATATCGACAGGACTATTGGGTTTCCCCCCGAACCCGCAGGCACCTGTCTATAACTATGACCGGGATATAAAAATATTAGAGAAATGTGTCTCCTCATTCTTGTGATGTCGGTGTTTTAAAATTTAAATCCCGCACGTGCGGTGTAGCATCTGTCTCCCACGAGAACGTCAATGACCTCTAAAGCACGATTTTCAAACTTTAATGACTTCCTTTCCTCTTGTTTCGTCGCCCTTTTGTCAGTATTATTATTATCAGTTTTATTATTGTTCGTGCTATACTATTATCGTTAGCAATGACAGCTTTCATTGGCGTCTGTCCATATCAGTATCAAGTTTCTTACTCAGTGCGACAGCTGTTGTTACAAAGTGCGACAGCCCATCTTAATATAAAATGCGATGGCCCATTATTGGAAAGAGCGACATCTCTTTTATTATAGAGAGCAACGTAGTCAAGTAATTTTGGAAAATGCGAGGACACACCCCCTCAACTCATTCTAACATTTTCTTATCTCAGCGTGCCTTTGAAAGCTCATTCTATCGATAAATCAGTCATTTTTCTAATTTTAGTAGATACAAAGCACTCTATTCAAATTTGAAAACTTAAGAGCCTTCTGGTTCGTAATTTGACGACAGATAAACAAACAAACGCAGGCTGTAGAACAGCCCAAAAATAATTCATATTGCACTGACGAGTTTGGCTGCGTACAGTATTTAATGTCTTGTTCATCAAAAAGCCTTAAATTTGCTGTTAAATCACTCAATTTAGTCTCTTCACTTTGAATTATTGATGTAATCATGTGAAAAGCCACGTAAGAAAGACTCCCAAAGAGGAACTACATTGCCCATGACAGATTGGTAACGCTTGACGTTGAATAAGCTCAGCAGTTAAACGAATGTTTTGAGGAGGCCTTCAAACGTAGTTCCGTTCACTTCTTTGTCTGTGGAGGATATAATTCATCCGCTGTCTTTTTGCCTAAAAACCACGCAATTTGTTTACAACGGAGCCTACTATCTGTTTTTGGAACAGCTATGGTAGCCCAGGTATAGCCGTACCCCCCCCCCCCCCCAAAGGTGAAACGCGAGCGTTCCGTTTCTCCTAAGGGGGGGAGGGTACGGCTACATGTAGACTACAGCTATGGGTTCGTCTGTCTCTGCTGTCTTTGTCAATCTGGAAGACGTGGAACAAAAGGCTTTGAGAGGGTGGCTTTAAAATAGTGGATGAAAGATGAGCAACATCAGCAGAGATAACAACGGATCGGCAGATCATGATTCCTTCAGTGAAGAACCTGGTAATTCTCAAACATTACTGGTAATCATAAACTGTGTACTGAATGTTCCTTTGGTGTTCGTATCGCTTTGGTAATACTTTCTATTACAAAAACCCCCTCCATTTGTTCGTCTTCTTCAATGATCATGGTGTGCAGCCGCGCGCTTACTGACTTTCTCGTTGGACTGGTTGTACAGCCACTTTACATCGGGCAGCAACTCTCGAGAAAATCCAATTTACTTGCCCTCGAGGCAAGCGTAGGCCATTCTGTTTGTGGTGTTTCATTTTTGACGATAACAGCTATAAGTCTGGACCGTTTTCTCGCTCTTCATTATCATTTACGATATTTTACTGTGGTTACCAAATCCCGCATCATATGTACCGCTGCAATCATTTGGCTGTTCAGTTCCCCAAGCATGGCACTTTTTTTTTGGAATAGGCGTTTACATCGCACATTTGTTGGATTTATCGTCGTAATTTGTTTCATGGTATCCACCGTTTCGTATGTAGGTATATACTGCATCGTTCGTAAACACCAAAGACAAATTCACATCCAGAAAAATATTGTAGAAGGCTTCAGAAGTTGAAATAAACATCCTGCGTTTGAAGAGAAGTGCTGTGAACACATTCTTGTTCTATATCGCTCTTATTCTGTGCTATTTCCCATTTTTTGTATTTATTACATTGACTGGAGTATTTGGGCAGAAATGGAAAGTGCTATGGAGCTTTTCAGCCACTGTAGTATTCATGAATTCATCTGTAAACCCATTTTTGCATTGTTGCCGTATTCGAGAGCTACGCACTGCAGTTTTGAACACACTGAGAAAGATGTTGTGTAGAAAAAGCGTCCAAAAGCTTTTGATATTCATCGCCTCTTAGAAAAACGCACTGCACAGGTTAAAAAAAGAAAGTAGGAAAATTTTAATAAGCTTGAATAAACACATCAACTGTTAAAATGTGAAAACTGAGGAAGTCCCTCAAAATCGTGCTTCACTGGCGCTGGAAAACTTTGATGTTTACATGGAGGATTTGTTCTGAGTTTTTTTCATTTATATATTTATTAGTTACTTTATGGAAAGAAACGAATGTCTCAGTGGGAAATCTGGCTTGCAGTCCTCCTTGAAAGGAAAAAAAAAAAGAAGAGAAAAAGAAAAGGAAAGAAAAAAAAAATCACCCTCACGTAAGCAGTCAAAGACAGATGAGGCAAACTTGTTTACCCAGTCTCATCGGAATGGTATAGAAAACGTCCAAAATACAGCCCAACCCGCTTGTTCGCTTTGTTTCAACGGCGATGAATCCAATTTCAGGCTAAAAGACTTTTTGACTTTCCGGGAGAGACGGGGGGTCTCGAAACTTAGGCCATTACTAGGATATAAGGGTTTGCGCCAAGGTTATTGGGCAAGAATTATCCATCTCAGACGGCAAGATAGACCGATGTTTTCAAACTAGGACTCGCAAAGCTATGTACGTGACTAATTCAGACCAATTAAATTGATAATTTTGGGCAAGGTTTTTAATTTTTCCTACTCTTATAACAGAAAGTATGAAAAGATAATTTGAGACGACGGATTTGCGCGACAAAATGAATTTCCTGCACGCAGATTGAGCGATTCTCATCGTTTAATTAAAAATTGCGAAATCTGTTCAACTTACTCGAACTTATCAAAATTCAATAAGAATTGAGCTTTTCTTCGGGACTTGTTAAAGTTAATCAGGAATAGTTAATTTATTACTGATTTCGAAACACGATCAGATGTCGTTTAGCCAGTCATATTGACACCCTGCAAAGTCAATGTTTTCGCAGCTATTTCCACTTTTGCTGTTATTTTTTTTCCACAACTTGTTCGGTGTTATTCCAGTAGTGTTACTTGAATATTAAATAGAGTTCAGTTAATTTATCACATGGGATAAGGTTGTATTTCATCTACTTTCCGCAACATTCACCGGTGTTTGTCATGTGATATCCACGCTTTGTTAGATCAAAATTTATCACATCGTCCAACGCCATCGATTGCAGATCGGCTCTCAAGAACAAGCTACATAAAGTCGCATTCAAAATCGCACTGCAAAAATGCGATTAAAACAAAGCGCTTTGAGCATGTTTGTTTTTTTTAAATCTTCATGATCGCTTGTTACTTTCCCGCGTATATTTTACTCTTTGTTTTTGGAATTTCTTACATAGCCTGGACCGAGACCATCTCGTCTATCGTTGTGTTTATGAACTCGTCCCTGAATCAAATTCTGTTTTGCTGGCGTATTCGCGACCTTCCAGTTACAATGCTGAAGATGACTGAAGGGATGTTGTGTACTCCACAGATTAAGATTAAAAGAGGCAACTTTTGTAAGGCTGAACATTTGCAGCAACTTTCTGACACCTTACATTGACGACTGCATCGGCGCTACCTCCTCTACCAGAGAGCTCACTCAATTTATAACCACCGTCACTTCCTTTCACCCGGCTCTTAAATATACCTAGGAAATTTCCGACACCTCTTTGGCTTTTCTAGACATCAAAATTTCAATTGAAGGCAACGGTTTATGCACTAGTGGTTACTACAATCCTACAGATTCACATAGTTACTTGTTGTATTCATCTTCGCATCCATCACACGTTAAGAACTCCATACCCTTTTTCATAGTTTCTCAGACTTCGTCGTCTATGTAGTGACGACTCCGATTTTTCCGAAAAATCAGAGGCAATGTGCCAGTTTTTCGATAAACGTGGTTATCCTGTTTCTGTCGTTCAAGCGGGCCACCACCGCGCCCAAAAAATTGATCGACAGTCAGCACTGCAAACGGCTGATAAAAGGAAAACACTGACCACATTCCATTCACTCTCAGATTTCAGCGTCACAACCACGCGGTTAAATCTATCATTCTTTAAAACTTTAAATTACTGCAAAACGATTCAGAGACTGGCACTATCTTTTTGCTACCCCCACTAATTTCATTCAAACGTAACAAAAACATAGGCAACTTTTTGGTCAGAAGTTCATTTCAAACCAATGACCGATTTTCAACTTTCAAACGCGGTCGCTCACAATGCAAAACTTGTCCTTTCATTCATAACGAAGAGAAAATATCGGGACCCAAGAGATCCATTAAGATCACTG